AAGGAAGTCCACCAAGACCAGAGCAGAGGGGAGAAGAGAGAGGCTGGAATCAAATGGGGATACACAGGTGGGAATTGACCAGATCATCCATTTCATCCAAAGTGGGGATGGGGGGAGGGAAAGCTCAGTAAATTGTGATGATCACAGCCTGTCACAGACCCACTAAGAGAGGGTGATTTAATTTCAAGATCGTGCTTCCCCCACCCATTCCTGCTACCACACTGACAGGGCTTTGGTGTAAAAACAGTGACTTAAAGCCAAAAGACCAGCAAGGCACAAACTCTATTTAAGAAGGGCTTCTTAGGGAAACCCACAGACAACAACGAAATGAGACAGGAGTCCTGGAGGAAACCGCCTGCACTTACGGCTGCAGCAAACATGAGCACAGCCCGACTCCCAGACAGATGAACACACACGCTCCTACTGCAGCCCTCCTTACCTCACTTCCGGATTCCCGTAGGTCGAGTTCAGCTTGGTACGTCGGCGCAAGGCATGCTGAGAAGCACGGACAGTCTGGACACACAGAGCAAACCAGACTCAGATAGGACTCAGATTTTGGGATTGTTAGACGTGTGTGTGTGTGTGTGTGTGTGTGTGTGTGTGTGTGTACACATACATAAAGAGTTTTATTATAAAGAATTGGCTACGTGATTTACTCTTTTTTTTTTAAGATTTTATTTATTTATTTGACAGACAGAGAGATCACAAGTAGGCAGAGAGGCAGGCAGAGAGAGAGGGGGGAGCAGGCTCTCCACTGAGCAGAGAGCCCGATACGGAACTTGATCCCAGGACCCTGAGATCATGACCTGAGCCAAAGGCAGAGGCTCAACCCACTGACCCACCCAGGCACCCCTACATGATTTATCCTAAGGGACTGGCTCAACTGTTGTACAGCTGACAAGTCCCAAGGCCCAAGGTGCCAGGGGCTGGAGGCCCAGGGGAGCTGCTGGGGCAACTCCAGTCTTAGGATGGGGTGGCTCAGGACCCAGGAAGGACCAGTGCTTCTGTTCCGGTCCTTGTGCTGAGAGAAAATACTTAAAGGACGCTGGAATTAAGGAGGGAGGAGGAGACAACAGGTATCTGCCACGATGGTGAAAGACCTGGGATATCTGTAGGAGACGGGAACTTGCTCAAAATGGAGATCTGTACAAAATCCCACCCCTGGCACAAAATTACCTGCAGGATCTGCTGCTTCTTTCTAAGCCTCTGAGATCTCGTTGTCCTCCTTCAGGATCAAAATAATAACAACACTGGTTTCTTGTTTTTCCTGTTCATGCTACCACAGCTGCAGAGAAAAAGCAAACGGCAGGTCTTCTGACTGAGGAGAGCCCGGCTGGCATGTCCCGTTCACCTCCTGCTCTTCCCCCACAGCCACTGCCGCTCGTTCAAGGGCAGTTCTGGAGCTGAGCTTTCTCGCCCCATTTTGCTGAAAAACAGAAGCCATGTCCCTCCTCTGTTTATATGCTGTGGACACTCTCCTCTACCTCCTCCGTTCAAGATCCCCAAAAGTCCAGGATGGCTCAGCCCCAAAGGGAAAAACAAAGAATTCACAAGAGCACGTGACCCCAGGAGACAGAAAACACTGCCGTTCCTCTTGCCCAACAGCTGACAGAGTGATGAGGGTAAGGGCCTATGTAGCCAGAGTGACTCCATCTCGGTTAAACAGCCATTTTGTTGTCTGAGCAGTAAACGTAAATTGACCCTGCCCCCCTCCGCCCAGAGAAACTTACTTAGAAACAAGTCCGGGAAGCCAGTAAAATGCAGTCGGCGAGTTCCTGATAATGGAGCCCAGAATACAAGGACAAGTCAGGCCAGATGGAGACATCCGATCAGTACAAAGTACTGTTTGTAACAGTGAGAAGGTCTTGCCCAAACCAAAAGGACTCCATCTTGGGAAGGACAACCACCTTATTAATCACACTGAATATGTTAGCTGACTAAGACTTCCTGGGAAGTACTGTTTGTAATGGTTCCTGATATGGGGTAATCTTGAATAACAAGTCACCAGACCGGATGGAACTAGCCAATCAGCAAGAGACACACAAACCTGGTGGGTTGAGATACCAAGATACGGGTTGCAGTTTTACCCAATAAAAGGTAGCCTGAAGGACGGGGAGGGGTCGCTCTCTTCGGAGATGGCCCTGGCCGGTCAGTCTGACTTCTAATGCTTGGCATAAAATAAAGCTTTGAATATAACTTTCACCTCGTCTCAGTCTCGTTCCTTTGATAATGGACCCCAACAGTGAGTCCAAGTGTGGGGGGGAGTGTGTCTGTGTGCGTGTGTGTTGTGTCTGTGCTTGTGTCAAGTATGTATGTTTCCATGTGTGTTGTGTTTGTGTGAGTATGTGTTGTGTTTGGGAGTTGTTGGATGGAGTATGTGAGATGTGTTTGTGTGTATTTATGTGTGTGTGTGGCTGTGCTATGTGTTTCTGTGTGTGTTATGTTTGTGTCTATGTGAGTTTACGTGTATGCATTTGTATGTATGTTTATATGTGTTCACATATTTGTGAATGTGTGTGTGGTATGCTTTGAGAGTAGGTGTGTAGGTGGTATCTGTATATGTTTGTGAGTATGTGTTTGTATGTTTGTGAGTGTGGGTGTGTGTTGTGTTTCTGTGTCTATGTGAGTGTGTGGGTGTGTGCTGTGTTTTGCATGTATGTTTCTGAATGCTTGCTGTGTTTGTGAGTGTCGGTGTGTATTGTGTTTGTGAGTATTGGTGTGTGTTGTGTTTGTGTGTGTGTTGCATTTGTGAGTGTGGGGGTGTGTGTATATTTGTGAGGGTGTGTTTGCATGATTGTGAGTGTGGGTGTGTGTGGTGTTTGTGAGTGTGGGTGTGTGTTGCATTTGTGTGTATATGTTTGTGAGTGAGTGTTTGTATGTTTGTGAGTGTGAGCGTGTTTTGTGTTCCTGGTTGGAGGGACATGGCCATACTTGGCAAGGAGGACTAGGAGTTGCTCTAGAAATTGTCATAGAGTGTGTTGGAATCTCCCAGGGGAAGAGACCACAGGAACACTTAGTTTAGGCCCAGCATTCACACTCCTGGGGACACTAAAGCCCAGGCAGTGTGGCTGTCTAAACTGATGGTGGCTGGACATGAGCACTGAGGTCCCCTGGCTCCCAGCAGGTCTCTGGCCCACACCCTGAAGGCCCCCTCCCTGTCATCTTCACCGCAGAAACCAGCCACCCACCCGTTGCCTTCCGCAATCCTCACTGCCAAACCTTCCCCAAGGTCAGGCCTGAACTGCTCTTTGTAGTCCAAGACCCTTGTGACTCACCACGCCGAGCCATGCCACCTCCTTGCCACAACTTCCTGCCCATGCCCTCCAGATCTTTCCATTGCTCTCAGGACCCAGGGTCAGAGCGGCCTCTGCTCTCTGATCCTTTCCGTCCTCGCAGAACTGCTCAGGTCCTTGTCTGTCCAAATGCCACCTGCTCCTGAGAGGCCAGGGCCACTCACCATTTCCAGGAAATCTCTTAGAATGACAGGTGAGACCACAGTTCTGGGGGCGGGGGAGAGGGGAGCGAAGGAAGTGGGGTTCCCTCAGACCTCCCTCTCCTCATTCAGCCTGCTCCCCCTCAAACCAATGCTTCTGGCAGGAGAAAAGCAAAAGTCAGGTGTTAAAACTGTTGAAAAACTAATATGACAGATTATGATTTTCTCTAGGCAGAGGAAGAAGAAGACGGACATGTTTTTGAGGACAGTCCCGAAGGAGCACTGTGTCAGGATCCTAGACGAGACATTTTAGGAGGTAAACTACTTTCTAGCAGAAATTAATGTGAGAGGGATGTGGATGGGACATTCAGAGGGTAGGTGGTCCACTGGGACCCACAGCGGGGCTCATCCCGGTCAGAGATGTGAGCCCCTGGGCCGCCATCGAAGGCCTTTCTTGACCACAGCCAAAGAAAAGCTCCCTGACAGGCAGAGCAGGTGAAAGGAAAGGGAGACATGGTGCCACTTGCCCCCTTTACCAAATCTCTGTGCCAGACCCAAGGAAAAGGATCTATGCGTTCTGGGCTTTTGTCCTTGGGAAGGATGTGCTGACGGTCAGTGTGACCAAAGGCTCACCCGGGCCTGAGGCTCTGAAGCCAACAGACCCTGTGCAGGTGCTTGGCTGGATCCCCTGTGAGAGCTCATGGGGTCCTATGGGTTGCAGAGCACCACGGGAACAAGCAGGATGTACTCGGCCGACCGCTGCCTCAGAACTGGGCTTGCTTTCCCACAGGGCTCTGTCGCCTAAGAGCTATTGCATCAAGGTCAGGCGCTGGACTTCCAAGAGCTCAACGTTGTCATCTAACCTGGGGAGATAGAATCTGGGAATGCTGGAAATCCATCTGTTTTCCTGGCCAGCAGAAATTACTTGTGATTCATTGTGTATTTTAACACAAATGCTTTTTTTTTTTTTTTTTTTTTTTTTTTACTCCATGAACCACCAGGACTAAGCTACCAGGAGAGTGCCGTTTTACTAAACCACATAAGAAAATGGCCAATATAAGTGCTGACATTTGATTTTCCTTTTCTTCTTTTTTGTTTTTTTCCTAAGATTTTATTTATTTATTTGACAGAGAGAGACACAGCGAGAGACGGAACAAGCAGGGGTAGGGGAAAAGGGAGAAGCAGGCTTCCTGCCTAGCAGGGAGCCCGATGCAGGGTTCAATCCCAGGACCCTGGGATCATGCCCTGAGCCAAAGGCAGATGCTTAATGACTGAGCCATCCGGCACCCCGATGTACGTTTTCTTGCAGCGGTCAAGGTTAACTGTTACTTGAAAAGTCCTCCCCAGAGCCCAAGTGATACATTAAAGTTCTCGGCCTGCTCCAGCTCCAGGCCGGCCCGGATGGGAGCTGCTGTCACCGTCCCGCTTTGCGTTGGCCAAGAGGGCAGGGAGGATCACCACCCTCCGTGCTTCCTTGACACACACTCCCAGCCACTCACCCAGACTCCTGTCGAGCCAGCCAGCGGAAGCTGGAGGGAGGCAAAGCCATTCGCTCAGCATTGGCAGCATGGCAGGCAGCAGGGAAGCCTGTGGCCGCTCAGGAGAGCGAGAGGAAGACGATGCCGATGCCTTCAGGAGGCTGGACGCTCTGTCGCCGAGACACACCAGTCTCTTCGGTGAGGAGTGGACTCGGAAACCCGCTGCTGTTTGGCATTTCTGTGCTCTGGGTCTGGGATCTGGAAGGCCAGAAGGGAACTACCTTTTCCATCCCTCAGCCCCACTGACACTGCATTTCTCAATACTCAGTTGACATCTCCCAGTCATTTCTCTCAGCTCTTGCTTCTCATATTCTGCTGGATGAGAACGTCCAACCCAATCTTTAAGGTGTTGCCTAAGAACGTGGACCCAGCATGGCCCTGCGCTTGGAGCCTGGGGTCTGGCTGAGGTGGTCCCACATTCGCAGCATTCCCAGTGGGAAAGGCTGAAGGAGGAGATGCAGTCGTTTGCCTCAGGGGGAAGTCGCAGACGCAGAGGCCACGTTCTTCTTTTCTTCCTTCTCTTACTGAGGAGGATCTTCCATCAGGGATGTTCAGCAAAGCTCAGGCTTCCATATTCGTGCTGGGCTCATTCCCAGCTGGGTGAGAAGAGAGGCCCTGAGAAGGAGTTTCCAAATGGCGCTACCCAGCAACCTCCCTTCTGGGTAGATACCACCGAACCAGGAGCAGGGACTCGGAGACGTGTGCTCTAAGGCTCACCGCAGCACCGTTCACCGTGAAAGGTGGAAACAACCCAGCTGCTCACAGATGTACATGAAGAAACGAACCGTGCTCTGTACCTGCAACGGAGTACTCCTCAGCCTTCGAAAGGAAGGGAATTCTGACGCGGGCTGCAACACGGATGAACCCGGAAACATTCTGCTGAGTGAAGTAAGCCAGGCACAGAAAAGCAAATACGATTACAGTTTGGGATGATGAAAACGCGCTTGAGATGCACAGCACAGGTGACTGCACAACACGGTGAACGGCCTGAGCGCCACTGAGTGGCCCGCTTCAAAATGAGTTCGATGGCAAATTGTATATTGTATTTGATAATAATAATAATAATAATAATAAGCTTTTAAAAGGCAAGACAGAACGTGAGCCCCGCAGTCTCCGGGGCACACTCCAAGTCTTCCCATCTCCCACCCACACCCCTCTTGGCTCTAACCCAGGCTCCCTCTGCTTTGCCTCATTGACTTGGTGCTCCTAGGCCGGGGCGGGTGAGGGGGGGGCGTCCGCGGAGTCCGCGGTCTCTGAGGCTGCTCCAGGTGGGGAAAACGGGCAGCGGGAAAAGCGTCACCGGAAACAGCGTCCTGGGCAGGAGAGAGTTCCAGTCTAAGCTCAGCAGGGCCTGGGGATCCTTATCCTCCAGCGCAGCGTCCGCGGCTGGGCAGGGAGGGAGCTCGAGGGAGTCGACACACCCGACGTCCTGTTCCCACTGGCCGGGCCGGAGGCGGCGGTGCGGGCCATCTGCGAGGTGGTGGCCTTCTGGGCACCCGGACCGCACCCGGTGCTGCTGGTGACGCAGCTGGGCTGCTTCGCCAAGGAGGACCGGCGGGTCGTGCGGCGCCTGCAGCAGGAGGCCTTCGGGGTGGGCGTCCTGGCGCAATCGGTGCTGGTGTTCACGCGTGTGGTGGCCCTGGAGTGCGGCTCGCTGGAGGAGAACGTGCGGACAACCAGCACCTGCCCCAGCTGGACGCGGTGCGCGCGAGGCGCAGCTGCAAGAGCTGCTGCAGGTGGTCGATGGCGTTCTGTGGGAAAACGAGGGCCACCCCTACAGCCCCCCGGCCTACCGGTACTCCCAGCAGCGCAGCCTGCTTGGGGCTGCGCGGGACACGCAGATTCACCCAGGGCAGGGTTCCGAGGGGGCGCACCCCCCCGCCCAGGAGTCCCTGCTGGAGGGACTGTGCCAATTGCAGAAGGAATTCGAGAAGGTTCACAGACATCTGCTCAGCAGGGAGCCCATTTGAGGTAACTCAGGACCGCGGGCTCCTGGAGCCTGCTGCCAGCGTGTCCCTTGCTCTCTCCATCCCCAGGGGCATCACTGCCCATGCCAGGCTCCTGGGGGGTGTCTGATGTTCGGAGAGTCGGATGCGCTCCCCAATTCCCCGTTCACACCCTGAGGCCCTCAGTATCCCTTCCAGTGCGCCTGCAAAGGAAGAAGTTGAAGGACTTAAACGCTGCAGGGAGTAGCCTGCCTGGCTGAGGGGGAAACCTCTGCAACACGAGGGTGTCTTTTTGGAGGGCTCCTCCTACGGACAGGGTCCCTGAAAAGCCACCTGGGATTGGTGAAGAGGACAGGATGGGGGTCTGGCTCTGGCCGTCTGAGTGCGTAAGGACATGGATGTGCCTCAGGTGCCCCTCAGCTTCTTTGAGGTTCTAGGTGCTTCTGGGGACTCTGACCAACTGATGGAAACAGAAGAGGAGCAGATGGGGGCAAAATGCCTTCCAATATACTACTTGTTTCCTTTCTCTGAGCCGTGTGACAGTGGGTCTCTAGCTACCTTCTTCTGGGAGCGGTGAGAAATGGAGGTGGGGGAGATAGTCCTGGAGGACAATCAGAAAACAGAGGACACAGTCTCAGGTTTGTCTGGACGCTTGTCCTCTGGTTGGAGATTCTCTAAATCAGATGCCCATGGACAACAGTCTCCCAGTGTGGAGACCATGACATTCATCTTTCCCAGACTCAATGGACTCTTTTTTTTTTTAAAGATTTTATTTAGTTATTTGACAGACAGAGATCACAAGTAGGCAGAGAGGCAGGCAGAGAGAGAGAGGAAGGGAAGCAGGCTCTCTGCTGAGCAGAGAGCCCGACGCGGGGCTCGATTCCAGGACCCTGAGACCATGACCTGAGCCGAAGGCAGAGGCTTAACCCACTGAGCCACCCAGGTGCCCCTCAATGGACTCTTAAAAAAGCTTGAGCATTTCTTTTGCTAGGAGATTCAGAAAGTGTCTCAAGGCATGACAGAGACTTATTTTGAGTGTGTATTTAACATAGTCCTTGTGGGGGTCCTGGGTGGCTCAGTTGGTTAAGCAGCTGCCTTCAGCTCAGATCATGATCCCAGAGTCCTGGGATCAAGTCCCTGGGTCAGGCTCCGTGCTCAGCAGGGAGTCCACTTCTCCCTCTCCCTCAGTCCCTCCCCACCACTTGTGTTCTCTCTCTCTCAAATAAATAAATAAATAAATAAAATCTCTAGTCAGAAAAATAAAAGTGGTGTGTCATGTGATGTACTAAATTGCACAGTGTTTCGTGTAGCTGTGGTAAACACATGACCAAGATATAGAAGCAGAAGTCCTGCAGGGAATCCTGCTTTGTTTTGCTTTTGTAATACAAGTAATGTCCTGTCTTCCTCTTTGTTTCTTTCTTCTTTCCATCTGTAAGTCATACATGAGGCTGAAGGTGAAGCAGTCGTCTTGCTACAGAAGTTACTTGCAGAGGATAGTGGAGAAGGTAAGGAGATAAAAATCAAGTTTTCAGGTTCTTTGGAGAGTTACATCACCACCGTTGTATCAAATTTTGAACCCTTTGTTTGCTAAGCCACTTTGGTGAAGTTTCTCTGACACACAGCCAAACACACTCCAGCTGATATTCTAGGACTGAATGAAAGTCACTTCCAGACCAGCCATAGAGAATTTTGACCAGCGGGAGCTGAGGTGTGGTGAAGACTGCCAAGGGACACCCCAAAGGGCACTGCCTCAACTGAGAGGTTAACTCTGGGTTGCGCCAGCTGGTGGACTCCTTGTTGGTACCAACAGGATGTCAATGACCTGAGGAATGGGGGTCATCATCCAACAAGTAGAGGAGACAGGCTGAGGACTGGGATCCCATCTTTCTCAACAAACTCCAATGTCACATAGGCATACAACCGCACTGAAGGAGAGGAACATGGTGGCTTGGGGGGATAGCTATTGAAGTCACCTACATAGAGAGACTGAACACTGTCTAAAGGGTCTCTTTAACAGATCAGATTTGACTGCTTTAAACAAGATTAAGCATTTAGTTATAGTTTTTCCCTAGAAGTAATGAATAGGTGCTAGGAAAGACTAGAAGAATTAAAATTAAAATTTTTATATTGGCTCTTTACATTAAATGTAGTCTAGGTTTAATTTCTCTATGTAGGCTGTTTCCAGTGCAATCCACACTACTCCACAAGAACCAACTGACCTAAAGTCTTAGAGGACTTATTTCCAACATCTTACTCCAAACCTCTTTCCTATGAAAGCAACTATTAACTCAAGGGGAATTAAAAATAGAAGTAAAATTTCCCTATCTCATGTCCCTTCTCACAAATCTATATCAGAGATATAATGCTTAAGAAAATGTGCACACCGGGGCTCTTGAGTGCTACAGTTGGTTAAGCAATCAACTCTTAATTTTGACTCAGGTCATGATCTCAAGGTCGGGAGATCGAGCCCTGCGTCAGGCTCCATGCTCAGTGGGGAGTCTACTTCTCCTTCTCCCTGTGCCTTCCACCCCACATGAGCTCTCTCTCTTAAACAAACAAACAAACAAATAAATCTCTCTTTTTTTTAAAGAGGGAAAGAAAATACACTGCACCTGAGACTTTCTTCAATAAAAATAATGGAAATGAATCAATTCAGTTCCAATCAATTCAGTTCCCCCCTCAAGAGAAAACTGGAAAAGTACAATGAAGTAAAAAACCAAAGGAAAGCACAATATGGAAATCATAAGAATAGAAACTAGAGTTGATGTAGTAGAGAATACAAAACACTAGACTTGGGGCACCTGGGTGGCTCAGTGGATTGGGCCACTGCCTTCGGCTCAGGTCGTGGTCTCAGGGTCCTGGGATTGAGCCCTGCATCAGGCTCTCTGCTCAGTGGGGACCCTTCTTCCCCCTCTCTCTCTGCCTCCTTGTGATCTCTCTCTCTGTCAAATAAATAAATAAAATCTTAAAAAAAACACTAGACTTAGTTAACACATTAAAATTCTTGTTTGTTGGAAAAAATTAAACTAATTTTTCAAGGGAAAAAAAGGGAAAGGGGCACAAATAAAATTTTCAAAATGATAAGAGGGCAATGACCCCTGAATTAGAGGAAATTTTTACATTTGAAGACCTCTTTGCAAGTAAAGATTAAATGGATAATTCCCTAGAGAAGTACCATTACCAAATCTGTCTCCACCAGAGAGATAAACTAGAAATAGACCAGTTTACCTGGAAAAGAGAGATAAAGCCATTCAGGAACCATGGTGAAAAGTAAGCACAAGGGCCAGATGGTTTTGCATGGAAATCCTTCCAACCCTTCAAAGTCCAGATAGTCCCAGTGCTCTGTAAAATGTTCCAGAATATTGGAAATGAAGGAAAGTTTCCCTAATTGCTTTTTTAAAAGAAGTACGGCATCAATATCTAAGCTTAAGAAACACTGTACAAAAGGATTAAACTATAAACCAATATCTCTCATGAGTATCAACACAAAAATATGAAAGAAAATATTAACAGATATTAATATTAACAGATATTAATTAAGAAAATATTAAGAAATATTAAATTAAATATTAAATAATTATATATTAATTTAATATATTAATATATATTAATAAATGTATATTAATATATATTAATTATATTAAATAATTAAATATTAAGAAAATATTAACAGATATTAATATTAAGAATATATTAACAGATATTAACTGTAGCACCACATTGTCAAATGTGATGCATCATGACCAAACAGGATTTAAAACAGAAATGAAAAATCAACTTGTTATTAGAAAATCTATTATTACCATTCACCTTATTAATAGATAGAACAAAAAAGAATCAAAATGTTATTCCCATAGATGATTTTTGGAAGCTTTTGACAAAATTTATTAGCTATTCATGATAAATAATAGGATAGCTATTCACTCAAGAAAAAAGTGGCTGGAGAATACTTGCTGAAAATGACAAGCACACACACACAAATCATAGACTACTATGGTCGAGTATCTCACTTACTTCACTGGGAATCATTGAAGACATATTGGGAGCCAAGCAAGTGTGTCCAACCACTACCATTCAACATCATGGTGGAGGTTTTAGCCAATGCAATGAGATGAGAAACATCAATTAGGGATGTAAAACTAAGAACAGAAGCAGTAACAAAGTGTGGTGGATCCATCAGATGGAATCCTAGTCAGCAATAAAAGTGGACAAGCTACAGACACACACCACTTAGATGCTTCTCAGAATCTTTATGCTGAGAGAAGCCAGTCTCAAAAGAGACTTTGTTTTACTTATCTCTAGATTCTCTGTGTTTTCTTATGGTATAAAATCTACCCTGAAGTCAAACAATTTATGAAATGTTTATGAATGGATGAATAGATACAAACTCCTAAACCTCAAGAGATGGGAATATGCCACATGTCTCATTTTTCTACTGTATGAACCACAATGAGTAATATATATCAAGGACACTCTACCTGCCTTCTACTCTGAGAGACAAATGGGCAACACTGCTCTCAGGGTACTTCCTTTGGGCCTCCCATCTCATGAACCTGGACTTCCTTTTTTCTAGGAGGTAGATGTGGCTCTTTCATTAAATATTTTGTAAGGGCCTATTTAGCCAGAGCAGCTCCATCTCAGTTGAACAGCCATTTTGTTGTGTATGCAGTAAAACTCAAACTGACCCTGCCCCCCTGCCAGTCCATGAAACTAGTAAAATATAGTCGACTAGTCCCAGGTAACAGAGCCCAAATACAAGGGCGGGTCAGGCCAGGTGGAGACATCCAATCAGTGGAGTGTACATACTGTCTCCCTAGCTACCAAGGAGTGTGGGCCCGCCTTTTGGGCACCTTTTGGGTGACAATTCTGACCAAGGTGATAGGCTAGTTCAAATATCTACTATAGGGTAAATTGTAATTCAATTGGCCACCCGTGTGTGACCTAGCATGACTATGCAACTTTCTCTGTGTGTTACAATCTCATTGGCCACCTGTGTGTGACCAGGCTCAACCACATGGCCTTTG